GCGCCCTCCACAACAAGCCCGTTAATCCTCTTCCTTTCATTTGGAGCAACATTGACCAAATTCGATGCAAGAAACGGTTCTACCCGACTTATGGAGTGCTTATATCGGCGTTAGGACTCTCTTACGTACAATGTAGCTACGCTGCGCGCCATGCCACCGTCAAATCCTACTGCCTATCATTTTAAGGTGGATACGGAAACCGACATTGTGGACTCGACACGGATTGGGGTCAACGAGCTTAAACTTGGCCAAATCATCCTCAACGAGACAACTTTGTGCCCTCATACGGATAGGAGATGTGTGCGCTCGTACTTTGATACCGAGGCAGTGAAAGAGCAAGTTCCCGAGACTACTTCCGGCACCCGGCCGATAATTAATCTTCCTCCGTACGAGCACCCGATGCACGCCGTGACAAAGAGCCTTGCCGAGCTTCGTGTATTCATAACGGATGAGTTTGCGAGATTGGGTGCTCGGATGGATGCTCTGATGGACCGCATGGATAGCCGCATTGATACCCTTGACTCTCGACTTTCGACATTGATGGACTCTCAGGCTGTGGGACCCACTTCTCTTCTGGTTTCTCATACCGATGATCCCAGTTCTTCTTCTTTTCCTCCCGACGACACACCTATGGATGCACGGTGATTTCTCACCGTGGAGTACGCATTTTCTTTTCTTTTTTTTCTTTCTTTTTCAATTTCTCTTTGTTTTGTCTATGTGTTATGTGTTTCTTTTCTTTTCTTTCGTTGATTATTTCTCTTGAGCTTGCGTGATTTTGTTTCCTTCCGTATGCTTTTTGGGGTTCAGCAATGAGGACATTGCTTTGTTTCAAGTGTGGGGGAGGATTTCTTGATTATGTTTTCTTAAGTGATTGTCCTTTGTGTGCTTATGTGATTTCTTTTGTTTTGGTATTTGATAGTGTGTTTAGTTGTGTCGTGGACCGATTGTTATAGGTTGTTTTGTTTGGGTGTGTCGACTTTCCCCGCATGAGGCTTGATGTGCGTTTGAAAGTTCAAAATTGTTAAGTGATGAATTAAGTATGTTGATTGGCGTCATTGTTAACATTTGTGCCTTATGAATTCGATGATTTTGACGGTACCTTTGAATTGGACGATGATTTGTTAAACGTGGGACCCGCATATGAATTCACGAAATTGTTTTGTCCCTTGATTGTCTCGATTGATTGACTTGAGATAGACGTGCCTTATGTTCGATTATTGTACACGTGTTATGCTATTTGTTTGTATTGCATCTAGATTGATTGTGCATTATGTGATTATACTTTTGATGTACTTTGTGCCTCTCCCTTCGGAATGAAAAAATAAATAAATAAAAAAAAAAATGAAATGTGAGTTCGCGAGGAGGTACGGACTAGGCTCTTCTTATCCCGATTCACCTCGTGAAATGGGATAATAAGCCCGGGAAACCGGTTTAGGGAACTCGAGTGGACTAATCGAGGGTAAACCTAAATACACATTGTCTAGGAAACCTCGTTTGGAAAAAGAAGTTCACGAAAAAAAAAATCAAATAACGAATGGGAGTTGGCTTATTGGTCCGTGTTTATTGTATTTTACCTTTTGAGTTGACCGCATTAGTTTTTTGCACGTATATGTTGAAAGGGTAGCTTAAATCGAGAAAATCATGTGTAGGATGACTTGGGACGGGTTTTTGTTTTGTATGGATTTATATGTGGGGAACATGTTTACAAATTTGAGTTTGATTCTTTGGATTACCGGAGGAAAATGAGAATTTCATTATTGCACGTTTGTTAACCTTGGACCATGTGACATGTCTTTTAGAACTATTTATCATTTTGTTTGCTTGAGGACAAGCAAAGAGCTAAGTGTGGGGGAGTTGTTTATTGTGTTTTTGTGTCTCTTTTTATGTGTTTCTTGTGCATAGTTGCGTCAGTTTTAGGATTATTTTAGCGTTGATCGGTCCATTTTATCGTTTTCCGTGTGTTTTTGTGTCTCTCTTTTATTTTGTGTTTTCGGCGTACTTTTTCGTATTTCGTGGTGTATTTTCAGGTTTATTCCCGAGGATGATGAGAAGAATCGAACCGAGTCTCGAGAGACGAGATTTCCAAAGTATTCCGAGTCAATTTCGAGAAGTCCCGAACCATTGAGCTAGTCCATTCCAAAGATTTCGAGCCAAAATCGATCGAAAGTCTTCAAAGATAGCCACACTCGCGCCCTCGAGCCGAAACCCGCGCCTTGCGAAGCATCAGTGCCCCGCGCCACCACACTCGCGCTCTCGAGCCGACGCCGGCACCTCGCGAAGCATCAGTGCCCCGCGTCTTCACCCACGCCTCGCGAAGCATCTACTGCACCTCCCATCCGCGCGCGCGAGCTGGCCCTCGAGTTCGAGAGTGTCGTCTTCTCTCGCGCCGGTCCTGTGCATTCCTCGAGCCAGACAGTGCCATCTCACGTCCACGACCCGCGGAAGTCCCGACGAGCTCGAGAGTGTGTCATTTAATCTGCGTGTTTCTACTGTGTGTTTTTGGAGCTGGACTATATATATGTTTTGGCCCTTTGTATTTGGGACACTAGATTTCATTTGCAACTCTTACTCTTTTTGGTAATGTTTTTGTTTTTAGAATTCCCCCTAGATTCTCTCTAGTTTAGTATTTTCCGGTGAACTTTTTCTGGCGACTTTCGTTTTTATGCAAGTTTATATCTTTTTACTCCAATCTCAACTAAGCATGCACTAGGAATGTGAGTACTTACTTTTAAGACTTATACTTTTGAATTGTGCACCTATTTGCTATCTAGCTAGTAGAAGTGAGTAGGGCTTGCTCGTTTATTGGATTATGTTTGCTCGTTTAGTTATTTTCCGTGGTTTCGTTGTTTCTGAGCTTGTCTATTGTGCTTGAGTTTGTTGAAGTGTAAATTTCTACTTGAAACATCGTGACTTTGATATTGAGCTCGGTTATTTCGTCGTGGAATTTTCGGCTTTAACTTTTAAGTGTAGTAGATGGAGTTCGTTTATTTTGTTTTCGCTCTTTTTACTTGATTTTTGGTTGTCCGGTTTAGTAAGCTAGGGTTTCTAATATAATTGCTCGTTTAATTGCTCTTTGCTTATTTCCTTAGTTAATCTAGTTTATAATCAACCTCAAATCATTGGTTAGGATGTTTAGGATTTATTTGTTTCGTTTTGTGTTTTTGGACAATTGAATAGCAACCAAAGCTCTGAATAGCCTTTCTTAGAGAACGACCCGAGTCGGGTAACTCGGTTACCACATCTCTACTAAACAATATACCTCGTTGATGGATTTACACGGGGCCATAGATGCATTGAGGTGTCGGATGTTTTCTCTTACTCTGGGGCCTCGAGCTCAAAAGTGGGATCATTCACTACCACACCACTCTATTTGGAAATGGCAACAGCTGAAGTCAGCATTCCGAACTCATTTTATAGGATCTCAGGTATGTCTGATTCTGAAAGAGTCAATTGTTAACATCGTCCAGAGAGACGATGAAAGTGTAGAAGATTACATAGCTCGATTCAATGATTGAGTTTAAAACTTGGAGCCATGTCATCCTGAGACGTTGCTGGTTGCAGCAATAGCAGGTCTGAAACCGAACTCATTGTTCCGTTGGACGCATTGCCAGAATAAACCCAATTCGTTTCAAAAATTTCTCGCCCGAGCTCAACAACACATAATTTCTAAAGAATCAATGTCGGTACGTACCCAACTTTTATTTTACCCCTAAAGAGCCGAAGTTGTGGTCAGAATGAAAGAAACAAAAAAACAAGAAATACTTCAGCAGCAAGTCGGGGAAGCCCCAATTCGAGGGCCCCCCGAGGAGAGATCCAAATGATCCTGAGGTAAGAGTAGCTAAGAAGCAATACGCTGAAGATTTAAAGCCGAGTTGTCAAACCATCTACTCGACGGGAGCTGCCACTATCTTTGAAGAATTAAATGGAAAAGGTATTATTCCCCCACCAAGGCAAATTAAAGTTCCTGAAGATCGACTTGATAAGTCTAAATATTGTGCCTATCATAAATCACCTGGGCACAACACCGATGAGTGTCGGAGTTTGTTTTCGGCCTTGTTGAGGTTAATCGGCAACCCTCAAGTTCGCAAATTTGCCAGAAATTCTGACCTCAGACGTAAAGAGAGACCTCTAGACCTTCTCGACGACGACGAAGATGACAACAGAACAATGAACCCAAGGAGAATTCGGCAAGAGAATAAAGAATTCTTTACCCTTGCCTCGGACATGCAGGCGGCTTTGCCCGAAAAGGATAACAAGAGGGCTAGAAGAAGCTATTCACCGAGTTCTTCAAACTGTGATTACATCCCTCGGGTAAACACGAATGACGGGAGACCGACTTCCTCCCGCCAACAGGCCAAAGCATATGCCCGAAAAGCACACAACTCAGGTAAGCACGTCCTAACAGCCGATCTGAGAGAAACAATAGACGCTCGTAATTATCCTATTACGTCCAGTGTGGAGGATGCTAGTTTGTTTGCACACCGTCATTATGATGCGCTTCTTATAACCGCGCCGATCTGCGGTATACCTGTTCATCGAATTATGGTCGACACGGGAACCTAATTTTAATCATTTATTTCTTACTGAAAAAATACACAGTTCGTCCACTAAGTTATACCCTAGTTGCACTTCCATCCTTTAATTGTTTCCAGTTTCAATTTGGTACACTATCATTTTCTTTTATCAATTTCCTTCCATATAGAGGTTTCGGTGCTCATTTTTTTCGGAAAAGCTGATGTGGCGCCCAGTTGGATCTTATTTACTAATTTCCAGCGTGATGTAGCACTAAACTTGTCCAACTGTTTTAACACATAGATTAAAACAATAAAAAATATATATATAAATCAGAGGAACTATTGTGCTTTCATCAATATATCTGGCTGTCACCAAGATAGTAATAATATTAATAATAAATAATTTACCAAATTATTTCTTCCTGAATTGTTCTACAACACCTTAAATGGCCGTGAAGGTGGCGGTGGTGACGTGGTGAATTGTAGTTGCGCCGAGGAATTCTGACGGCAGTGGAGGCTGTGGTGAGTCGATGTTCCCAACTCGTTCTCCGACATTTGAAATTTCGATTCAACGGCAGGCTGCAGAGGCAGCAACTGAGGGGACAACGACTGACGATTGACATCTACCGAAACCTCGAACACCACGCTGACTGGACTTTTGATCTGCGCTGCGCCAACACCCTTATCATCGGAGAATCGCCAGCGACCCTGAATCCCACAGTGTGCAGGGAAGGTGGCACGCTGGTAGGGTTCCAGTCCCCTAAATTCCCCCGATGAAAGCTCTCAAATTTGAAGCCCGAACACAACCAACGCTGAGGCAAAGACTGAACTAAAGTTGAGTCGAGCGTCATTTTACAATTACGCTGGCAACCAACAACCCTAGTTTTTTTCCCCAATTCAATTTTACCTTCTGACACACTCAGAACACGACCATGGGCTGGGGGAATGTGTTCTTCACGTTGGTCATCCTCCTCGGTTGTCCCCATCAACTGGCTCCCCAGGACCTCCGGCGGGAAGAGAAGCCACTTCCACACCGTTGTCTCGTGAATCANCCGGCAAAAATCAGCACCAGAACCTCGATTTGGATGAAAATTGTCAAAAAAAAAAAGGATATCATACCAAAAGTAAAACGAAAAAAATTAAAGGATGAAAGTGCAACTATGGTATAATTAGTTAACGAATGGTGCATTTTTTCCTTTCTCACTCACCGAAAATCAGTTTTCAGAAAATAAATATACCACGGGTATCTACTCATAACGTTTAATTTTTCTACACAATTTAATTCAAGCCAAATTAAATATTTAGTCAAAAAAAGTTCAGTTAAAATAGGGGCAAACTCAAATTTTATTAATGATTTTTCCAATAATATATATATATATATTAAAAGTTATAGATACACAGCTCTTGAAAACCATGTATTTATTTGCTAGAAAGGTTTTCATGAATCCAAAAACAACTTAAACGCTTCAGTTATTTCAGCAATTAGGCCATGTGTTAAGTTGCCACACCTAGGGGTGAGCATGGGTCGGTACGATTCGGAGATGAACAAATTTCCAGAACTGTACCAAAATTCGGAGATCAGTAAATTTAATCTCCGGAACCGTACCAAAAAATCGGGACAGTTCAGTTTGGAAATTTTTGTTTTTCAATTCAGTTTGGTTCGGTATTCGAGACTATCGAAACGATTCGATTCAGTTTGGTTCAGTTCGAATCTCTTGAGATTCCTAATTATTTTTTTTTAATGACTACCTAGTTATATTTTAATTTTCATATACTGTAAAAAAAATCCAACATTCATCAATACTTCATCATATTAAAAAGTTTAAATAATATTTTCAAACAGTAAAAATTCAATTGTAGATCAATTATTTCTAAGACACATATTATCCAAGAGTTCACCCTTATAAGATCCAAATACAAATCCCATAATTCACAAACCACAATTTCATACAATATATTTTAAATTTTGATGGGAATTTTTCATCAATACATGTGTAATACCAAAAAACATTAAACATTTGTCGTCTTCGAGCGGTGGGTGTCGACGTGTCGTAGTATTATTATTAAACTGATAGATATTATGGTAAAAATATCTATCAATTTATTTTTATTTGAAAATATATTATCTTTAAATAAATATTTCTCTCCAAATTTTGTGAAAGATTTTCTTCATAAAGTTGGGTTTCCTAACGTTCTAAATTTTGGTTCATAATTAATGATTCTTAAATAAAATTTGACACATTAGTTACTAAAATTTGTGATAGGAAAAGTATATTAATTTAATTTCTTTTCAAACTAATGCCTGATCACATGCAGTAAGAAAATAAGATAATTATTTTTTCAATCATTTAATTATATTAACATTCAATAGTGGAGGATTTTTGTAATTCAATTTGAAATATAATATATGATAGTTAATGTATATGGATCTTATTTGCAATTTAACTTTAAATACAAATATGTACAAAGATGAAAAGAAAGCATAAGATGAAATATTATATTTATATGAATTTTATGAATTAAAATCGCCGGTTCTCGGTTTGGTATGGTTTTTTTTCGGCACGGTTCGGTTCTCGGTTCGGATATTTTATGAATCTCTAGAACTGTACCAAATATTTTTTTTGGTATGGTTCGGTTCGGATAAAGTCAACCGGTCAACGGATATTTTTTGATTCAGGGTGAATTTTGTTCGGTTTTCGGAACGTTCCGCAATCATCGAGTCCCGTGCTCAGCCCTAGCCACACCATATATAGCTAAGAACGTGCCCCGGTGCTTGCTTCATGAGCACACTACTTGATACTATCTTCTTAGAGTTCCAACCATACCTCTGAAAACCGGACTGGACCGGCGGGTTCAACCGGTTCAACAGGGGCCCAGTCCATAATTTGGTCCGGTTTGAGTCATTAAATCGCCAAAAGTCAAAACCGGTAACAAACCGCTTAAACCGGCTCAAAACTGGGTAAACCGAAAAACCAGTAGCGGTCCATGCAGGTAATCGATTTCTCAAAGTTGGACTTTGAATTGGAGACTGAGATTAATAGTTATTAATGAAAGTTGCTACAACATTTATAGTCATTCTATGCCTTTTATTGGACTTTCTCATTCGATGTGGGATCATTGTAAATCTAAGTTTTCCTAGGCTCCCAGCCTTTATAGCCACTTTTGGCTTTTATTTTTGCATTTGTAATCGATGTGGAATTGTCCCAGGTTCCCAGCTTTTTATAGATACTTAATTTACGCCTTCCTTTATGCTTTCAAAATCGACTAGTACAACTTCCGTGTATTACACGGATATTTGTTAAAAAATTATTCTTAAATTTAAAATTAATGAGAAATTATTTTAAATTTTATTTATTTTTTACAAAAAATATATATTATTATATATTTTAGAATGACACTTGTTACTTGTGCGACTTACATGTATTATATTATAGTAATTTTTATAATTTATATCATATAAGTACTTGAAATATGAATATATTAATTGATGAATAACTTTATTTTTCTAATTAATATTAAAAAATAATTTTATTATTGTTATAAAAATAAATATAATTTATTTTTTTCATACCTACAATATAGATCTTAAATCGAAGCTCATCTAGAGATGATTAATTTGATATATTATATATATAAAAGTGATAAAAAATACAAACGTTATTAACTTTTAAAATATATTTACAATTCAATGGTTATAATAAGAAATGATATTAAAATACAATTAGTACATGTGACGTGACCATAAATAAGCAACATATTTATGGATAATCTGAATCTAATTAGTTTTAGATTAGAAGTAAATTAAAATTTACCCAAGCCTAATAACGAAGCATGTAATTTGCCATATAGGATCCTGAAATATGCGAGACTGCCACTTAGGCTCAGCACGTTTTGAAGTAATATATAAGGGGATGTGGGACTAAATGATCCTTGCATTAACACACTTTCACTATGTATGTCAAGATGAATATTACGTTATCATTAAATAAACTTATTATTATTTTAAATTAATAAATGATTAAATTTAACTAAATGAGCATAAAATATGGAAAAACATTATGGGTTTTTACATATAAAAGAAAATGCACTTATATTTAAATAAAAAATAAATATTTAAATATTATAGATATATATAAGTTACTATTAGTTAGTTTAAGTATTTTATTGTTTTAAATTATCTTAATATTTAATTAAAAAAATTACATATAAATTATGTAAAATATTATATATATGTTTAAAAATATTAATAAATTAAATTCCGCTCCAACCGGTTCAACCACTGGTCGAACCAGTGAACCATTGAACCAGTAGCTTAATCGGTTCGATGACCGGTCCGATTTTCAAAACCTTACTTCCAACTGTTAACTTTGGCATTGTAGTATAAAATTATGAATGTTGGACTCGAATTTGAACAATACGTACATTAATCTCACGTAGAGCGCAGGAAATACGTGAACATGCTATAAACATGCTCCTCTTATAGAACCAAAACCACGAAGAAATGATTTTGCAAAAATTGTGTGCATAGTTATATGTGGCTTAAACGCCACAGCTAGACAACTTGTATGAAAATTGCCAACAATTAAGAAAGACGAAAAACGAATTATTCATTAAATATGCAAATTCCAATATCAGAATCGGAAGTCGAAATGTGAGTCGTCAAGCTTGATGGGCCTGCCTCTTCCCCACGACCTTGCAGCAGAAGCAACCCCAACTCCGAATCCAAGTACTCATGATGTTGTTGTCCATCCCCATGGCTCAGCTGAGACGCCACAAATTTGTCGAGCTCCCTCCAATCCGTGACTTTCTTTAGTCTTTCACCCTGATCACTACTTATTAGTTCATCTTCTTGCCTATTATTATTATTATTATTATTATTATTATTATTGGAATGAGGTGTTTTCACGGGCAGGAGGGATGGACTCTCCAGCTGGGGAAGCTGCACGAATTCATCTGATTGGAGGATATGCAGATTTTGGTTGATTTCTTGTTTGCTGAGATGGACACTGTTATAAGGTTGATGACACGTGGAGTCCCAGCTACTTTGGATGCCATTGCCCTTCATTTGGTGTCGGCTTGTTGATCGCTTCATGAAGACCCTGCATACCACCCACCCTTCTTCCTGTATGCGCAAATTCAAAAAATTTCTATTCATCACTATTCTACAAGAATAATCATTTTTAATAACGAAAATTTTTGTCGCTATATGTTCGAATGTCGTCACAATAATCATTTTATAGTCATGACATTAATGTCGTCACTAAAATTAGTGTGTGTATAAATGAGATGTACCAAATGAAAACATCTTCCTGAATAGTACTGTACATCACCCAGATATGACATAAATCAAACCATAGCTAGGGAATTAATTGTTTTACATACTTATTTGGTAAGTGTCTAAATTAAATATTTAAGGGAAGGCGAGACTGAGGTTGTTTGATGGAATAGACTACTGCACAGGGGTCAACGTGGGAATAAGTGATTGGAGGATAAAATGTCGGCAGTTTTTACTTGATGAGGTTGGGTAAGTGGAAAGATCATGCAACAAAAGTTTTCTGCTCGAAAAGCATTGACTTTCTTTTTGACTTACCTACACAATTAATACATTATGCAATGGGAATGGGACATTCTAATGAAAGCTTAATTTTGCATGCCTTACAAGTTTGATTACAAATTAATAAATGGGCCCCTACATAGGTATAGAAAAAGAAAATTCATTATTATCTCTAGGTTTTTTGTATTGTTTAGTTAGGAACTAGGTTGCACATCAACCAGCAAATTAATGATTCCCCACTATATTGCTATTTTACAACTGGAATAAGTAAAAAATAATAACACAAATNAATCATATGATTTTTTTTTTTCTCCAGTAAAATGTAATTCATATGAAAATTTCAACTTTTTGCTGGGAAAATGATAAATTTGTGTAGATAAATTTAGTGCAGAGAAGAGTAAAATGAAGAAATAAGTTTGTGAATGTTAATGAAGAAATATATATATGAGAGAATGGAATGGAATGGAATGGAATGGAATGCAGTAAGATTATATATATAAATTAATTGAAGAAGCATATATATATATACCTGTGGAGGGGCATTGTGTTGTGTTTGGAGCCTGTATTCGTGCATGATCCAGTCAGTTTTTTGGCCGTTTGGTGCCCTTCCTTTGTAGAAAACGAGGGTTTTGCGCATGCCAATGAGGTTGGATCCTGTGTAGACGCCCTTATCTCTTCCGGTGGCCTTCCAAAAGCCTGCCATGGTGGCCCTGTTGCTCCTCGTCCCACTTGGGTACTTCTTGTCCTTGTGGCTGAACAAATACCACTCCTTCTGCTCTTTGTAACCAATCCTGCATTTATCTGTACTTAAATCCAACATAAAACTCAAGTTATTTACTTTAATCAGGAAACTGCTTTAAATCAATTTGCTGCTCACAAACTAAAAATTTTCAAAAGCTTACTCCAATGACAAATTACT